TCCATTATAATCGACGAGAGAAAGAGAGACTTCGTAGCGGTATCGCGCGACTATTATTCGCCAGCTGATCATAGCGTTTGAGTGGGAGAAATTATCGTAGACCGAGACTTAAAACTCTCCCGCGGGAAGTTTCTCGACAATCGAATCGTTTGTTTTGAAAAGTGTGCGTGAGTCAGTGCAATTGAATTTCACAACCGAGAAGACAAAGGCTAATAACTAAGGGTAAATATCTTCGCGTAATAAAAGACTCGGCATTGGCGAGAATAAATATAAACAAGAAAAAAGAAATGTATCACATAAAGTGTTAATCATTAAGTTTGAAGCTTGATTCAATCAAAATGTCCAGCGAAATAAAAAAATTGACTCTCTTCTCGTTTCATTAGCGCAACAATAATATACAATATCTACAATTAGCAATTTCGCGAAAGATAAACCTGGGTATTTACATAACCACTGTTTTTTAAATCAATTATACAATCTGTATTAAGTATACGATAATCGAAAAAATATGTCACTATAAACTATTTAATAATTATGTTTTTATTTTCTCAATTGTTTCTCTCTCTCTCTCTCTCTTTTAACAAATGAAATAATTCGTCCAGGCTCGTAATTTATAATAAAACATTGCGAAATATTCATCAATGCCGAATGCACGTGAAAAAATGCGATAAATAGTCTGAATTTTCCGAAGAGATCTTCTGATTTTTAACCGCGCGAAAAAACAAGAAGATCAGAAGAAATCCGCGTATTACGCGATAAGAAACGTCCATTAAGCTCATTAAGTTTGAGCCGGGGTCGGATTCAATCAGGATGTCCAGCAGATTCAATGAAAAAAATTCCTGACTTTTTAGTGTTATTTTTTCCAACTATATAATTTGCATATATCTTTATGATTAGTCAATTAAACGTTAAATCATGAAATCCTTGAGATATTTTTGTCAATAATGAAAAGGTTCGGAAGTTAAAAAAACAACATTTAAATCAATATACAATCTGTATTTGTATACGATAACGAAACAAACATGTCACGGGAAACTATTTAAATAATTATTTTTATTTATATCAATTTTTTAGTTTCGTCTCTATATCAAACACGGAATAAAATAACGCGACGATGAAAATATAAATTAACGTCAAGGAAAAGTTTATTTTATTTAATGCAAATGGTCAAATTATTGAGACAAATGTAGAATAATGTGAAAAAAGCAGATAAATAAAATTTCCTGACTTTTTCCTGCAGATGCCCGGTTTTCTAGATTTCTTAACCGCTAGACACCTGAAAAACAAGAAGGATCGAAGAAGAAATCCGCGTATTACGCGATAAGAAACGGTCCATTAAGCTCATTAAGTTTGAGCCGGGGTCGGATTCAATCAGGATGTCCAGCAGATTCAATGAAAAAAATTCCCTGACTTTTTAGTGTTATTTTTTCCAACTATATAATTTGCATATATCTTTATGATTAGTCAATTAAACGTTAAATCATGAAATCCTTGAGATATTTTTGTCAATAATGAAAAGGTTCGGAAGTTAAAAAACAACAATTTAAATCAATTATACAATCTGTATTATGTATACGATAATCGAAACAAACATGTCACTATAAACTATTTAAATAATTATTTTTTATTTATATCAATTTTTTAAGTTTCGTCTCTATATCAAACACATTGGAATAAAATAACACGACGATGAAAATATAAATTAACGTCAAGGAAAAGTTTATATTTATTTAATAAAAAATGTGTCAAATTATTGAGACAAATGTAGAATAATGTGAAAAAATGCAGATAAATAAAATTTCCTGACTTTTTCCTGCAGATGCCCGGTTTTCTAGATTTCTCTAACCGCTAGACACCTGAAAAACAAGAAGGATCGAAGAAGAAATCCGCGTATTACGCGATAAGAAACGGTCCATTAAGCTCATTAAGTTTGAGCCGAGGTCGGATTCAATCAGGATGTCCAGCAGATTTAATGAAAAAAATTCCTTGACTTTTTAGTGTTATTTTTTCCAAATATATAATTTGCATATATCTTTATGATTAGTCAATTAAAAGTTAAATCATGAAATCCTTGAGATATTTTTGTCAATAATGAAAAGGTTCGGAAGTTAAAACAACAATTTAAATCAATTATACAATCTGTATTATGTATACGATAATCGAAACAAACATGTCACTATAAACTATTTAAATAATCATTTTTTATTTATATCAATTTTTTAAGTTTTGTCTTAGAATAAAATAACACGACGATGAAAATATAAATTAACGTCAAGGAAAAGTTTATATTTATTTAATAAAAAATGTGTCAAATTATTGAGACAAATGTAGAATAATATGAAAAAAATGCAGATAAATAAAATTTCCTGACTTTTTCCTGCCGATGCCTGGTTTTCCAGATTTCTCTAACCGCTATAGACACCTGAAAAACAAGAAGGATCGAAGAAGAAATCCGCGTATTACGCGATAAGAAACGGTCCATTAAGCTCATTAAGTTTGAGCCGGGGTCGAGCTCGATGAAGGTTTTCCGCGCGGTTTCCGTTTGATGACGGGCGTGGCATCTGTTCTCCATATAGGTGGACCACACGTCCCACATCTCCGACACGATCTGCGTTTTCTCTCTCCCGGGGCCGCGAACGCGCGATAATCGAGTAGCTCGCCTACGTGTAACTGTACATTGTGGGTCATTGCTTGTGATAAGTAGCGCCCTGAATGTCCGAGATTTTTGCCAGATGTTAATAGGCTGGCTCCACTCTCGAGTGTGGACACACAATTACCCGGGAGTGCATATATGTATACGTGTAAATGTATATATTTTCTTTATCGATTAGCCATGCCTATATCCGACACGTCGACGTCGTAGAGAAGCGGTTACGGATGAAATTAAATTTGCATAAACGTCCCCGGTTGCTCGATTCGCTCGCTACGGATTTATGCGCGTCTTCCGGGACGGAAATCGCGTTTGTCGGAGGGCGGGTTACTCTTCTCGGGAAAATTCACCTACTTCTCTTGATTATTCTCATGATTTCACGGGGAGATTTCGATCGCCTTCATCAGCCGATCTCTCGATACGACGTATAAAGAACGTTTCTCTTTAATGCTCTTTCTTCTTAATAACATTCTTTTACGAAATCGACGTCGACTTCTCTCTCCTCCGAACTTAATGGAAAATATAATTATAGAGTTATTTACTACCGGAAATTATTCTCTTTGAATTAGACTGAAAGAATGCGAGGCGAGGAAACTTTGCTGTTTTCTACTAATTTCAAACAAATTTTGCTCGAAGTCTTGGAGCGTAATTTAATATATTAAGACTTCTAAGATTACGCAGTAAACGATAGGCTAATTAACAGACTTTCGCTTTAACTGCAAAAAAACGAGAAATAAATAAATAAAGTTGTCTCGAATTCTATTTTATTTGTGTTTCTATTTACTTATTTTATCTATCTATATTTCTATCTATATTTCTATCTATGTTCAATATTTTATTTTTTATTCTATATCCTATCGAAACATCTATTACACAGTTCAAATAAAAAAACAAGAAAAAGCAAACAAAAAAATATAAGAAAAAGATAAATCGCTTCCCATAGTTTTTTTATGCTGAATACCTATAATCTGAATTTAAATTTTTCCAATACGTCGCATACCGCATTATATTTTAAAATATGCGCGATAAAATAGTTCTTTTTTGTAAATTCTTTAGCCGCAAATTTGTCAAAATTGCAATGAAATAATTTGAAAAATGAAATCGCATGTCGTATTTAGCATTCTAAAAGATTCTGGGTCATTTAATCTTTTTTCTGTGTTTAAAAAGACTATTTCTGTCGAACTGTGTTATCAGATAGTTGATGATGAAACATCTGAAATATTCTTAACAAATCGATATCTTCGTTCAAAACTCAAGTGCAGAGCCGTCGACTACGTGCAAGAGTGCACGTTCGCAGATCTGTCAACGGCGTGCATTTATTGCATCAATCGATGCAATAATACGCGTCCAGATGAATGAAGCGCATTTCTACCCTTACGTCGCGAGAGTGCTTCCGTTTTCGAGATAATGACCTACAGACTCGTCGATCCTGTTCGTAGGTAATGCAAACTCAGCGGGAATCATCGTTTCGCGCGCGTGTACGCTTTATCGTCTTTTATTACTCGAATTAATCGCGATAAAGCAATTAACGGGATCGCGAAATTATCAACATCGGACGGTTATCGCATGCGGAACGATGCAGTCCGAGATTCGAGATTATGTATGATTCTGGTACGAATTATGTGCAAAAACTGCTCGACGAGCTGCCACGTAACGATTATGGCTATCGCGGATTTTATATGCGGTAACCGATTCAATGATAAATCACGTGAGATAAGAGAGTATTCTGCGAATATGCGATTACATTAAAGTATTCAGAGAATTACGAATAGTAAACACTCACGAGATTTCTCGCAATAAGTCAATCATCCGATATTGTAATAAATATCAGAACGAATGTGTTTTTTTATCATGCATTTACAGGGTGTCCAGCAGACTCAATGAAAAAAATTCTCTGATTTTTTCAGATTTTCCAAGACTAGAAATTAATTTTTTCCCTGACTTTTTAGTATTTTTTCCAAATATATATTTTACATATATCTATATGAAAAATCAATTAAATGTTAAATCGTAAAATCTTTGAGATATTTTTGTCAACAATGAAAAAGTTCAGAAGTTAAGACAAAAATTTAAATCAATTATATAATCTGCATTATGTACACGATAATTGAAACAAACATGCGTCACTATAATTATTTAAATAATCACCTTTTTTTATTTGTATTATATCCAATTTTTAGTTTTGTCTAGTCAAGGAAAAGTTTATATTTAATTAATAAGAAATTTCAAATTAGAGACAAATGTAGAATAATGTGAAAAAATCCAGATAAATAGTACAATATCCTGATAATTTCAGATGTATAAAATTCCCTCACAATATCCGGTTTTCTAGATTTTCCTCGGTTCTTACCTTCGTACGAGATGTGCCGAAAATCCTCGGTCGCTCGAGCGACGGCAGCGAAGATCTGCAGCATCAACATGTACACGGTCCATCGCTCCATATTGACCGTACGATTCCCGCTTCTGCAACATGAGAAGAATCGATTTTTTATTTTTAATCGAGACCTTTCGCGGGCGTCAAATGGCATCGAACCGGAATCAATTATCGGGCGATTCTAATTGGGCCGCGAAATGTCATCTCGGGTTAACACGCGCTTTGTCACGATCGATGAAAAAGCTAGACTAATGGCGGGACGTTGAGAAAAAAAAGAATGGAAGAGAAAAAGAGAGACAGAAAGAAAGCAGGCTCTTCGTCTTCGTTCATTTCCTTGGCATTTGCGTATATACTCTCTCTCTTTCGTGCAGCATCCAATAAACGGCCTTGAACATTTTCCTCGAACGGCGGGCCAGACACGTCGCAATTAATTGCAGCGGAGATAAACCGCGGTGGTTACCTGGATGGCGCGATTAAGATCGATCGACTGTTTCGAGCAATCCGCACGAACGACGATTCCGGCTAACAACGATTGCATTACCGGCATCGTCGTAGTTCGAGTCGTAATGTTTGCCAATTAAGCCACGGACGGCTTCGCTCGATCGGAGAGAACTCCGGAAGGAGTCTCGGGATCATTTTCGCTTCTCGTCTCGTTTACCGTTAATGCGAATCGTATCGCGACGATTAAGGGCCGTGCACGGCGATTAAACTGCCGCTCGTTGCGATATAAGAGACTGCGCTCGAGTTAATAAAATCAAATGAATTCGAGGAACTATAGAAAGTTATAACGGAAAACTCTGTACGAAAATATCGTGAAGATCGCGCGAAAGTTTTACCGCAATTTATACCGCCATTAGCCATTAAATTCGCCTTAAGATTAATTGACAAGTATTCTGCTATCGCAGGAAATTATCGCGTACATATTTATAAGATAATAGCAATAAACTTTCTTATATTCCTAATATTAAAAATCTTTCGATGAAATTCTTTTCTCTCATCAGAGAGAATCTAAACGAAAAAACCTTAATCGATGACACAACGTATAGACTGAAAAAAAATTATTAAATTGATCAATATTTATTTCAATATACTGCCTAATAAAACATTTATTTGAAACAAATAAATATTTATCTGTTTTGAAAAGAATTTTTTTTATATCAAATAAATATTTATCACGTCAAATCAATATTATTAGTTTCAAATAAATGATTTATTAGACAGTATTGAAATAAATATTGATTCGAATTCAATAATTTTTTTTCAATGTATTCGTAACAGAACAGGAAAAAGAGAGTAAGTCTCCCGACACACATCCAATTATCATGGGATGACTATTTAAAGACTGGCCGAGTTAGCGCGTCAGAGAAGCCGACTTCTTACGACGTACCATTACGCCGAATAATTACCGGATCGCCTTGGGATCGATCAAAAATCGCGACCGGACACGCCGCGCCGGCTGGGATAACCCTCCCAATGGCCGGTGATTAATTATGTGACTCGAGCCACTCAAATCGATAATGACGCTTCTGTTGCGTCAATTAACGTCCACCTTTGTTACTCGCTCCGTTCCAAACAAAACTTGTCATTTTCTATCTGACGAACGAACATGCGAAAGACATCGCGTCTTCCTTGTGCGGAAGCGCATCGTGACAGATACAGATAGCATCAATAAATAACCGCAATAATTTATGAAACAGTACATTATCCATATATAGGTATATATTACATGTAGATATATCATTATGTAGATGTACATAATGCAAATTATATACGGAGAGAATTTTTTCTCAGAATTCATCCTAAAAATTACTTTAAAGTTTCGTTGATTAAATATTTATCACAAGAAAAATATTAATATCTACCACAATAAGATATAAAATATGTTCCATTAATTTTACTATACATATTAATATTTCTTTGTGATAAATATTTTTAATCAGAGAAACTTTTATAAAATCCTTCCAATACCATATATGGTCCTACGATTACCATGATTTTCAGGGTAAATTCCGGCAAATTCTAAGAGAAAATTCTCTCCGTGTATATATGATTTTCATTGTATATATAAAGATTTTTTGCATTTTGCTATAAGAAAAAAAAGGAATGTAAAAAAAAATAACCACGATATGTTACTGCGAGTGATCGTCCCTTGAAAGGAGAGAGTACATAATTATTAATCTCCAAGTTTCACGGGTGATTCTATTCCGCGGAACGACAAGAGCGTAAAAACGGCCCGGGATTATCCGATAATTCGGGCGATCTCTCTCCTTTTACAACGCTGTTACAACGGTCAGGCACGATTATCGCGTCCCAATTCGTTCCAGAGGCCTGGTGGCGAGAAAAAAAGGAAGAAAAAGATCCGCACGGGCGGACGTGTAAGTATATATACGTGAGCATTCACACCCCGGCAGCGATCAAAACGGCCTTAATGCACGCGAAGCTCCCGAGGAATGCAGATGCGCGCGTACACACCGCGAGATGATTTATTCGTCTTGGCGTCGCTCGTGAGATCCGCATGTGAGAAAAAGCGAATATATACTTATACTCTATGGCGAAATCTCTCTCTTTCTCTCCTGCACGCTTATATATACATACGTCTCTTGTATACATCAAACGCGTCGATATTCATAAATGTCACAGCAGGGCCGCGCGCGATTCTGACAGATTGACCTTATATATATATGTTTTATCTCCCCCGCGACGCTTATTATCCGCTCGATCGTAGATAAAGATTATCTAAATAGACACACATTATGAAATAGAGTCACATACGTGAAATTTTCAAAAACACTTCATGGAAAAAAAGAAGTAGCTACCATGGCTAAATTTTAGCTGTCCATATATTACAACCTGAATTTAATTATCATGCCTAAATTTTAGCTATGGTAACTAATATTTCTTAGCCATAGTTTAACGGAGAATGTTATAGCTGAAAAATATTTTAATATTATTAATTTTTTTCCGTGTTATTAAAAAAGTCTTTAATTATAAGCATCGTCAAAGACCTTTTCCACTTTGACAGGTTACGCGCACGCAATAAATATAGAATATTCAATCATTTCTGCAATTGTGTTACAACGCATTGTAGATTTAGATTGATCGCGCGATATTTTGCATCTCGATGGAACATGTTTAGCGAATTCTTACAAATCGAGCGAACATCCCATATAAATTTGTAAGTAATCGAAAGTGTATCTGAAAATTTATCGTGCTCGCGCAATGATGAATGGACCAACGAAATATCTAAGGGATAGATATGGTTATTTTCAAATTGACGTTTACATGGTGAATAAGAAATATTTAGTTAATTAAACTGATAAATGTATGTAGTATGTATACGCACGATAAATTGTTAGACTTTGTGTTCAACGTTTCAGATGCTAATGTCAAGTGAAAATCGTGTTCTTGTGGATCTGTCTATCATGCGAACCGGTGCGAGATACAAAGTATAAAAGTACTAAGCACACGACTATTTATACATATATCAATGTGATTTATCTGCCACAGAATTCAATTTACTGTTTCAAAGTTCTCTTCTAAGAGAATTTCATCTTAAAAAAAAGTATATTTATTCATTAAAAATAGATAAATATCTCGTGATATTTTCGTCTATTTTTAAATCAAATTTATTTCTTTATTCCACACTTCTCTATATTATTTTATCCTTAAAGAAGTCAGTGACAAAGTAAAGACTTGAGAGTTAATTTCTAGTCTCTATTGATCCATTCGAGATTCATAATTAGTATCCATGACAGAGTATCGCTACTGATAGTAACGAGTTTTAAAATTGCATCATTTCAAATCATCTCCTAGAATTTTTCAATACGTATATCTATGTCCAGTATATAGTAGACATTTGTCTATTCCCAGAACGCAAAACTCGATTAGAGCAATCACTATGCACTCTTTGTCCTCGCAATCTAATCCCGTCTCGTTTTCGCTATCGCCGTACCATAATCATTTCTTTATCGTTTGTTTACGGAAGCACATGTCGATATACATATATAAATACTAAACATTACTATTCTCTCCGTACACTCTCTTCGTATCTCACAACGCATATTACGAACTCCACCCGTTATTTCTCTCTCGCAGCATCCAACTCTCTCTGTATCGCGCTCGGATCTCCAGAGTAGCAGAGTAACACGTCCATTTATCCATCCGCGTTTCTATTCGCCTATCTAAGAATGCCGTTGCGCGCGACGTTTACTTTAACTCTCGTCGCAACGCGGACATTTATGACTACGCCATTAGTCTTTATACCCGACGAGATCTATTGCTATTTTATATTCGGAGTCGTTCGACTGCACCCATCTATCCAATCTATTTATCCGTATACACACGCCTACAATATGTACATCCGAGGAAAAGAGAGAGCGAAAGATTGGGTATTTCGTGGCTTATATTTTATCCCCGAAACGCGTCAAGTAGAAAAGACGCGTTATCCCGCGAGGTAAACTCGTAAAACTTTATGTCCGGCATGTGGACCACACAGAACGGCGACGCAAATCCGAAAGCCGACGTTACGTGATACACGAGGTAACACAATGGACCGATCGGTATAAACCATTCGGCGGAACAGAGCGCGCAAACGAGTTTGAATGGGGTACATCGTTCATCGTTTTACGTACGAGTCTCTCTCGTCGGGGCTTTGCTAATTTACAGGATGATCGCCGGTTAACTGCCCTTTAAGTCCTAAAGACTGTTACTCTTATATGTAATGTATATATACGTGTAGGATTTTCTGAATATTTACTTTCAATTAATTTACTCAAAGTACTCTCTAAATAAATCTTATCAAATTCTTTTCAACCCCACGAAATATATTTTAATTTAAATTGTGCGCAAAATTTAATTCTTCCCTGGTTCCTCGTAAAATTATTTATTCTTCACTTTAAATGTATTTTTTTTATGAAAAACAGATATATATATATAGTTTTGCTAATTTACAGGATAATCGCCGGTTAACTGCCCTTTAAGTCCTAAAGACTGTTACTCTTATATGTAATGTATATATACGTGTAGGATTTTCTGAATATTTACTTTCAATTAATTTACTCAAAGCACTCTCTAAATAAATCTTATCAAA